TGAATTGTCCTGGCACCCTTGTCAGAAATCAATTGACTATAATGTGAGGGTTTATTTCTGGACTCTGAATTCTCTTCCATTGATCTGTATGTCCATTCTTATGCTGGTTGCACACTGGCTTTGATTATCATTGCTTTGTATTAAGTTTTGAAGTTGGGAAATGTGTATTCTCCAAGTTTGTTACTCATTTTTGAGACTGTTTTTACTATTCTGGGTCACTTGAGTTTCCATATGAATTTTAGGATCATCTTGTCAATTTCTCCAAAGAAGTCAGCTAGGATTTTGATAGGGATTGCATTTGATCTGTAGGTGAAATTGCAGAGTTTGCCATCTTAACAATATTAAGTCTTCCATTCCATGAACTTGGAATATCTTTCCATTTGTATCCATTTTCTGTAATTTCTTTCAACACTGTAGTTCTCAGAATATAAGTTGTGTACTTCTTTTGTAAAAATATACATGGTATTTAAAATTTTATTTTCCAATTGTTCTGTTATTTGCTAGTATAAGAAATACAACTGATTTTTAAATATTGACTTATATCATACAACCTTGATAAACTTACCAATTATTTCTAGTTTTTTCTTACAATTTTCTATGTAATCATGTCTTCTGTGACTAAAGAGTGTTACTTTATTCTTTCCAATTTTTATGCTTTTTCTTACTGTGTGGTACCGACTAGGAATTCTAGTGCAGTGTTCATTAGATTCCTGGTCATAGTACAAAAGCATTCAGTATTTCACCATTAGGTATGATGTAAAATACTTTATATATATAATTTTTAAAATTTTTATCTAATTCCAAATTTAGGAAAATTTGTAAGAGTAGTACAAGCAAATCCCATATACCCAGTTCTCTACCCAGAATCAATAATTATTTACAGCTTGCCCCATATGGTTTATATACTCTCTCTTTTTTTGTGATATTTATGTATATGTTTTGTTTTGTTTTTACTTTTTATTGTACTATGGGTGAAAATTTACAGAGCTAATTCATTTTCCATGCAACAATTTATACATATTTTGTTTCATGACATTGGTTGTAATTCCTTCTTTGTAACAGCACTCTTCTTACTTTCTCCAACTACGTATTGTTTTTTAACTACCCTAGAGTTTTCATAAAGGGCCTTAACCCTGAGTTAAATCAAGATGCACCAAGGTTAAGACTAGAGTTTTTAGTAGAAAGAGACTGTCTTTGAGATTTCCATACTCCAGACATTTCATACTAAAAAGAAAAAAAAAATCAGGGATAGTTTGACTTCTTCCTGCCCAATTTGGATGTCTTTGATTTCCCTTTCTTGCCTATGGCCCTGGCTAGGACTTCCAGTACAATGTTGAATAGATGTGGTGACAGTGGGCATCCTTGTCTGGTTCCTGTTCTCAAGGGGAATGGTTTCAGTCTCTCTCCATTGAGAGTAATGTTGGCTGTTGGTTTTGCATAAATGCCCTTTATTATGTTGAGGAATGTTCCTTCTAT